AAAAAAAGAAGAAAACAAAAAAAAAAGAAAAAAAAAGAAAACATTTATATTAGTTTATGTTAATGGGGCAAATATAATAGATATCTGTAATCAAGCAAGGAAGAGATCTAGCTGGAAAACAAATGCCACTAATAAAAGTGCAATCAGTTTTTCACCTCTATTTCTTAATGTTGATTTCTAATACATGATTTATTCTTTGGTTTCCCCTCAATTTTCTTCCTCAGAAAGAACCCTGACAAGCTTCTAGCAATACCTTGTTGGAGTTGCTGTTTGAGTAAGGCTTACTCTTGGACACAGAAAGGCCTTTCAGGGAAGAACTTGATTTGCTGAATGGTTAAAAAGTATAGGCACGTAGGAAGGACAAAGCAGATGTATGGAGTTTTTTTCCACTCACCTTTATCGACTCCATTACTTGGGTTGAGAGAGGCAAGGCTGATGCAGAGCCCATTTATGAAGGCAAGCACACCATATGGGTTACAGCCCTAGTAACACATGTGTGACTATTTGATATCAGTGTTTATATAGCCAGTGACAATCTTGAGGTCATTGACTAGTAATGAACAAGGATACTGTCAGTTCTGGAGCAGATGCATCCATCCAGACAGAAGCAAATGGCCTCTTTTGCACTGAATTCCTATCAGTTTAGTCAGTCACTCTGCCTCTTCTATACTTTTGATTTCTTGTTGTATGTTCAGTTGGCACAGCATTGACTCAGGATTGATGTGGAAAACAAATGTTTTTCGTAGACTCTGGGGATTCTGAAAATGAGAACATATGTTTTACAGGTATTACTGAGCTCCAAATAAGAGCCCTGTCAAGAGAAAAATAATTTCAGCCAAACTACACTCATCCTTTGGGCCACATTCTGGTCCTAGTTAAATGAAGAGAAATACATCAAGGAAAATTTGTGAGATGCAAACCTGAGGAACAAAAGTCCCAACTCAGTAAATTGTTCAAGCATATGCTTATGCTAATCCTAGCAAAAGTTACTTTCAGCATGTGCTAGACCCTCATTGACACATCCAGCACATGCAAGGAGTTGAGCATGTGCCTAGGAGTTTTGCTGAACAAGGTGTCCTATTGATTTGAGACCTGAAAGAACAGTATAGCAAAAGAAGCTCTTTGCCAGGATGACAAAATTCAGTGAGTTCCTCACTGTATAACTTTATCACATTAGTAAGAACACAGATGGGTCGACCTGAACACTAGATTCAGCAGAAAAAGAACAAGAAAATACCTTAGTATAGGAAATAAAGGTGTCCACTAGGATGTTAGTGGTAGAACCGAAAGGCTAGGAAACTAGCACAGTTTTGGGCTATGTGGTAGCTGAAATGGCACTGCTTATTTGAAAAATCTATGGGAGATGGCAAATATATACTGTCTGGACTTAAGTCCCCTTTGCCATTTTTCCCTAGCTGGCATGTACTTGAACACACTTTGCCTTTGAAAACTGAAACAAAAACTCTCTACAAATTCTAGACACCATACTCTCATTTTCATCCCTTTAGTCATGCCTATTTATCTGCAATCCCATGCAGCAGAATATCCACCTCTCCAGTAACTCTGCAGCTCAGTAGAACAGAGGGCCAGGTGGGCTTTCTTAATGAAGGCCACAAGTTTCCAAAAGATTTGCACTGTTGAGTTTCCATGGGCACTTGAATATCTGTCCTTTCAGGAAGGCCACTGCAAAGACCTTGCAGGACAGATGAGACAGAAAAAAGATGGCAGAAAAACAGATTTGCCCCAAAATCACCCATCTTAGTGGCAGAATAGAGATTATAACACAGGTCTTTTGTCAATTCCTTCAGTATACATCAACCACAAGGCCAGCTCTTGTTGAAGTATCTATAATAGCCCAGACAGATTAATCAGGATGGAAAGGGAACATGCCTTGACGTTGAGTAGATTATTTGACTACTATCACTGTTACTGTGGAGGGACAGTACAAAATGAAGGAGCAATTCCATATTTGGGAGCTGTAAATGTGAGATTTATTTGGTATAGGTCTAGGGAAGAATGTCACACCTCTTCTGTTGCAGTGCCTCAAAGTCAAATTGCTGTGCAGTTCCTGCTCTTCCTCCCCCTCGGAACATACACAGTGTGTTATAGGGCAAGCATGAAATTAGGCTGGAGACTTCACATGGACCTAAGAACAAGAAAATATAATTGGGGATATGGCTGCCTAAGCCCTTAGATCTTTGTGAAGAACCCAGCCTTACAGCACAATTCATGCAGCAGTGAATTCAGGAATTGCCCTGGCTTGGCATGCACAGTAGCAGGAGAACACAGACCCTCACCTCTCAACTTGTGTTTATCACACTGTGAGGGTGTTTCACATCAGTCAGGTTTCACACGCAGAAGTCAGTGAGTCTACCTGGCCACAGGTGCTGCTGGCAGGCTGCAGCCAGTTCCTGCTGGCCAAGGGGCTGGAGGCTGCAGCAGCACGGAGCAAGTGCCTATTGAAAAGGCCAGCTCCCCTGCTGGGGATATTTGCTTCATTACCCAGACCTTTGAACTAGGCAGTCCCAACACTCTTGAGCCATCACTGCGTGATGCTTGCCAGTTCTTTGGCTGAAAGTCATGGCAAGAACAGACATACTTTGAAGAGGGGGAGAAATATTCCAGTGATGGCAGAATTGTTAAAATTGTCCTGGTTTATTTCCATGTCATTTAGTTTGAGCCATGAGTTTTTCCTGTGTATGTGTTTATATGCAGGAATTATTCCAAGATTAAAAGATTTTTTAAAGAGTGTATAGCTAGACTATGTTGTGCACAACCTGGTATAGCCTGTCTATTTAAGGGATGTAAATCATTACAGCTCCACAGAGGTTCTCATGTAACAGAGAAAAGCCTACTCCCTCCTTTCAGCCCAGTTATTCCCTTCCTCACTTGAGCCAACCCAACACACCCAGGTTTCAGAGATAATCACTGCCTTTATCAGGGAAACAGGAAAGCTCCTTCTTTCCAGTACTCCAAAACAACAATGCTGCATCTCCCTGCTTCTCTCACACGCATTGCAAGCAGTTTCCTGAGCATCCAGGATAGCAAACTGGTGTCTCCTCAAAGGACACGCCTCTCAGCCTGTTGAGCACTTCTTGGCCCTGCAGTGTGGCTGCTTACCATCACCTGGGTCTTACTTGTAGTAAGAAACAAAAAAGCACCTATGAAATGCTGCAGAGAAGGGCAGACAAAGAACATGGCCAATTATCATCATTTGTAATTCTCTATTCTATTGTAAATATGTCTTGTACATATGTGGATGTTTTCATTATTTACTGTCTTTATGGATATTGTGTTAAATGAGAGGCTCTTAGTTTATTGTGTAACACTGTAAATAACATAACGTCGTCTATTATTTATGCATAGGCATCTAACACGCAGAGAAAGTTATCCTCATATTATTTTAAGATATATGTCAAAAAGATGTTGCATTTTTCCTTTTGCTTTGAAAAAATTGTAATATATCCTCTTTTTCCCCTCTTTTCCTTTAAAAAATGAATGCTAATTTATTGTTCAGGAGAGAAAGGGGATGTAACTGAAAGGCAAACTGTTCAAAGAACATGCTATGGAAGACACAAGCTACTGATAAACTAAAGAATTTATTACCCCAAATACAGCAATAAGTAATTGTTGATTTATTAAGGTTTTGTTATTCATTTTCAGTAAAAGAGGTGCTGGATTAAATTGTTTATGTGTGGTCCTGGCTCAGCTGCTCAGCAGACTGTGTCAGGTCACTAGCTACCATCTTTCTGTATCCAAACATGGTTGTAAAGGTCTTGTTCTGTTGTTGTGGACCACTGTTTCTTGAGATTTCTGACTCATACCTGTGGGGGTCTCTGACAGACATTCTTGCTCCTACATACATTTTTAGTTTCTTAAGTTAGAATTATTAGCTCTACCCTGACCATTACTACTTAAGATGGATGGGGCTTGGGGAGGGGGAGGAGTTGGGGGGGCTGAAATAACACAGTCTTGGGACTCTGGGAGGCTGCTCTACAGAAATGTCACCTCACTGTTCAGCAACAGTCAATAAAACAAAGCATATACTAGGAACTCTTAGATGGCACCACCATGCTACTATATAAATTCATGATTTGTGCAGGTTGTAAATACAATGAGTGGTCTTGGTCTTCTTGTCTCAGGATAGAAATGGTATAATGGGGAAGGGTTTGAAGGGCAACCCAGGTGAATAAATATGTGGAGATGGTGAAGTCTGGGGAGCACTGGTTAGGCTGAATATCATTATTCTGAAAGAAAGGACAGCAGAGAGAAGATATTAAAGGTCTGTTGAAACATATTTATCTTGTAGAAGGTAAAAAAAGGACTGGATGTTTAGTACCTCTTCCAATAAAAGAAATGGAGTTATCAATCAAAACTACTGGGCACCGTATTCCCAGAATGATGTAGCTCCTCATGTAAGGGGCAGGGCACTTGGAGAATTACTTGCTGCAAGAGATTGTGGATTTTAAAAGTTTCCATGGGTTCATGGTGGGGGCCAGATCTCAGGCATTAATCCAATGAGGATTACTAAATCCATGAAAACCACATCAGATGTAGGAAATAACTGAACTGAAAACATGTGGAGATTGTATAAACTGGAAATATTGTGTGTACTAGTGCTGCTTTTACCCTTCTCTAACTATCACCCATACTTAGAGAGAAGGAGTGCAGATATTCGATCTGGCTGTACTTTCATGATATAAGTATGTAAAATCATTTGCTGT